CCTGCGTCACTTCAGGCTTTACTCCCACACAAGCTGACATATCCTGACAGAACTGAAATATCCTTCAAAGCGACTTAAATACCACTCACTCCCTGCTACAGGTTGGATTCTGCAGTCCCACACTTATGGATTATGGTGCGACGTTCGTAATGCAAGCAAGCATATAAACGTAGTTTACTGCAACTATAAATAAATCTAAAATTCAATACATATGTCATATTTCACATCCCTGGAAAAGTTCCAATGAGCGTTAGATTGGTGACAGTTGTCTACCCACTATATGCGGTCTTGTTATATTCGGAGTCAGCTGGTACTTATTCCGGATAAAATATAGTGCATAATATATATATACTGCAGATACAGTCACTCTTGGATTCTAAAGAATCATGCGAAAGGCTGTTTCCAGGTGACAAGATGACAGTATCGTGTCTTCCTCTTGGTGAGTGAGTGAGTGAGTATGGTTTTACGCCGCTTTTAGCAATATTCCAGCAATATCACGGCGGGGACACCAGAAATGGGCTTCACACATTGTACCCATGTCGGGAATCGAACCCGGGTCTTCGGCGTGACGAGCGAACGCTTTAACCACTAGGCTACCCGACCGCCCCTCTTCCTCTTGGTCTCTTGCCTGCCAACATGAAGTACAGGAAGACGCCCAACACATTTGCACTTAGGTCAAGGGCTGATAACACCCACGTGACTCTCCTTACAGTTGGATCATCTGCAGAATGTCAACTGGGCCTGAGATGCACGTGTGACGTTTCCGGAAATGACGCCACACCCCAACGTCACCATGTAGTTAGCCAGTCGTACAACGTCTGACTCATTATTGAGACCAGACTTCGCGATATTGCTGACGATATCATGACAGATGTAGGTGTTCCTTTTCACGATCTTAAGGGCAAAATGACGATACTTCTTGAGAAACCGTTTGAGTGAGTTGGATGTATACGAAAGATCATTTTAACATACATTTTAGCCAATGAAATGCGAAGGAATCACTTGCAATCATTATGTATTTATGTTTACATACACTGTAGCTAGAATATTGATCACTGCAGCGTAAAACAAGCTTGCGTTATTTTCAACTTGAAATATTTACCGAAGACCTAAACATGCAGAATCAGTGTATTGTTGAGAAAGAGTTCATCTGATGAGAATATTTAGCTGAGGGCTGTAGAACGTTTGTGGTAATATTCGAGTTATTTAGCTGTAGGCCTCTCAATTGTTTCTGTGTACTTTATGTTGTATCAACATGTATATCTTTCATCAGTTGGTCATGATGTAAAAGTACATTTTAAAAGCATTTCAATTTATGATAGTTGAACAAAATCTGGTCATGTTTTTTTTTTGTATTTATGTGCTTGTCTTCTTTAAGTCCTTGCACCTGTTCGCCTTGATGCACTTCAGCCAACAAGCTCAAAAAACATTTGTTGGCAGCCTCAGGAAATCGAGAACTCCTTTTTTGATGAGCTTCTTCCAAGTCTTCCAGTCCGGAATTCTTCTAAGCTCTTATTCTCGAGATGGCAGAAGAGGACAACCGTCAAGACCTTACAGGTATGTATCCCTCTCGTTCCAGAGATTCACATGTGGCCAAATTCAGCACAGAATCTCGAGAAAACGTGATTCCTTATATCGTTCATCAAGGACAACCAGATCAGATATCATCACAAATATAAAATCTGCATCTAGAGAAATTCAAGTACCCAGATGAATTATTGAAGGGGGAGGGGAGAATAGGACTCTTATACCAAACCTGGTAAAGAAAACCCCTCAGAGTCGTAAAGGGTTCTCAGATAGAATTTATCCAAGACCGAATTATGACATTTCACACCCTCATCGCAAATAAATCATTCTCATGACAATCTAGCTGTCCTGAACGAGGAGATTAAAAGAGTATCACTGAAAGGGTCGATAGCAGAGGTGTCTCAGGGTATGAATCTGGTGGCTTTCGTATCGCAGTTCATGAGTCCTAGGTTCGCAGTTCTCCGAAAAACGACGGAGACCAATAATCAATCTGAAGAAACGGAATACGTGTATCCCTTGTGAACATTTCAAGATCGAAAGCCTCTCGACCCTGAAAGACATCAACCTTAGCTCCACATTGAAAACATTGTATGTTTATCCCCTAATTATACCTCACTTGACCCATTTGAAGCATGAGCACATGAAGGCATCGCTGTCCCTTCTACTTCGTTGTATTCATGAACGTAAAGGTCCGGGGTGGAAAAAGTCGTCTATGCTTGTTGTAAGAAGCAACTAACGGGATCGGGTGGTCAGGCTCGCTGACTTGGTTGATGCATGTCAACGTATCACAATTACGTGGATCGATGCTCATGATGTCAATCACTGGATTGTTTGGTCCAGACTCGATTGTTTACAGACCAGCGTCATATAGCTGGAGTATTGCTGAGTGCGTCGTTAAAGAACAAACAAACAAAGATGAACTTATCGTTTCACTACACTGCATGGATCGATACTCATGATATCAATCACTGGATTGTTTGGTCCAGACTCGATATATATATATATCTATGTATGTATGTATATATAGAGGTTATCACGCGAGTGTGTTTGGGGATGGTAAATATCCTGTATTAGGAATAAACATTGTATTTAGCGAGCCTTGGTAAATATCCTGTATTAGGAATAAACATTCAGCGAGCCTTGGCGGTAAATATCCTGTATTAGGAATAAACATTGTATTTAGCGAGCCTTGGCGAGCTAAATACATAGTGTTTATTCCTAATACAGGATATTTACCATCCCCAAACACACAAGCGTGATAACCTCTTGATCATATAATGTCATTCTTTAATTTTGTGCTTGAAAATCGCTTTCCCTCCCTCACAAACATTACCTAAACATTGCGAGTTTTCCTGGAACGCGCGCATTAATATTTATAACGTCACAGGGTGAGTGATGTGTCAGTCGGACAGTGACAGTAGAAAATATAGTTCAAACTGAAATATGTTTCTTTTACAGTGGCGAAGCAAAATATACGCATAACAACAAAAAAATTACTTGCATTTCGCGGCAATCCATCGGTCTGTCCGCTGGAGTAACTGCCCTTTGTCAAAGGGAAGCTACTCTAACCCTAGTCTATGAGACGTCATGGCCACGATCAGACGTTGTTGACAATCGGCCTGTCCTGTCAAAACGTTAGAAGTGCAATCAGATGTACACACAGCGACAAAACGAAACAAGGTAGCAATTCAAAATATATTTCGGCCAAATCCAACTATTTTAATTTGTGGAAAAGGTTTCAAGCCGCAGAGGTCTACAAGCACAGATATGGCTACTGATCCCGCTTGGCTAGGGCTAGTGCCCTCGCAAAATTGTTTTAAAATTTATATCTCCAAAGTTGCCAAAACTTATAAAATGCCTTAGCGACGTCACATTTAGACACTGATTTTAAGTATATTAGACTGTTCTTTTGCTTATGATAGCAATTATCTCTGTAGTTTATCCAGATTCCCGATGGTTATTTCTGACTCGATTGCCGAATGACAAGAGCGACGCCATGTTTGTTTATAAACATAAAAAAGTAGACCCTACTTGACCTTTGATATTTGCATCTCTATCCGCATATGACCCCAACGGATATCGTTTTTATCCGTTGGCTTTATCCTGCCGAGAAACCTACCCATTATATGATAAATATATATATCAAGTTGAATTAAAAAAGCAGTTATTTCCAATACTGTGCTACATAAATTGTGTTTGGCACAATATTCTTGCCACCCCTGTAAACATAACCGTTCCGAGGTCGTGCTCGGGTATGGTGCTGACAAACCTGGAAACATAATCCGGGATTCGAACCCGCAAGGGACGCAACCCTGCAGATTGAGTAGCGGCGCCTACGACGACTGGGACACTAGGCGATCTGAGGCATTCTACGACCTGATTTTCCACTTATCTACATCTACTTCTCAAGTGCGGATTGATGTCTATCTGCAAACATCGCATTCCTGCCAGCTTCCAACACTATTCTGGATTCAACAACGGAGACGTTTCAATAAATGCGATTGTGACAAAATTCTGAAAACTCGTGAGTGTTCTTACATTAATTCCCGGGCATGCTACTGCCACCTTTTGACTCATAATGTTGCCTTCCTTGTTTGGAAACATAAAATTGTGAGTTTCACAATAATCTATTGATCATTCATTGCTCTTTTGTTGTCATTTAGCAATGTCACCATTTTGTTCTGTACGTACAGATTTATGGGTTGACCTTTGCTTTTGAGTCTGGAAATCACCTCGTGTCAGTGTTAGCAGATATGTGTCGACCTACATATAACATTTATGTTTGACCCCTGTAACGTTACACTGTTATACTTATACAAGGCGATATTGTCATGTGACACGTTATGTTGACCTGTTGATACAGTAGTATTAAAGACCATTGCATTTTGACTGACACATTGGGCATATTCCCACGTGGGGTTTCCGGAACAGTATATGATCCCATCAACTTATGCTTGCAGTACAAGGCGACTCGAGTGGTCAGGCTCGCTGACTAGCTTTTGGTTCATCTCATGTCGTTCAACCCATGGTGAACGGAACGTCCCGAAAAATCATTGATTTCTCCATATGATATAAATTGGCCGCCGTCATATAACTGGATTTGTGTGCGGCGTTAGACAATAAGACAACGAATAAAATATGTCTAAAACGAGTTAGTTGACTTTGAAAATAGCTGCTTTGAAAAATATCTGTGTTTTTATACAACATGTCGATCTTATGTATGAAGAAAGCGCACAGTGACGGGAAGTTTTAGACCTTAACCGTGAATTTACATTTACCACAATGGTGACACCCAGGCGATAGGTAATACTTGACCAAATATAAAATAAAGAAACGGACTATACCGAGTATACACCGTTCATTGTAACTGCCAAATCCAATGCGGACTCATGTTGTTCTGTTGAATATAAGCTCTCTGTAAATAAGCCTGACGCTTAAGCACCGTCTCAGACGCCTTTAATACGTGTGCAGGTGTAAGGCTTGCTCATATGCGTTAGACATACGATAGCACCCTCATGAGCTTGTTCGACCTACTTTAATGCGTTATATATACGATATCGCCCTCATGAGCAGAGACGGGTGCTAAATTCAGGCAAAGGAGTTACAGACCTAGTCCAAGCTGACGCTAGTTACAGGTGAGTGTGTTATTAATGATTCATCTCACTCACAGGTCCAACGGAATCAGTGAGTATATTTTCCAGTAGGTTAACTGTTGGTTGTCATCTTAATGACACGAGTGTATTTATCGCGTGATATGCCAAAGGAGGGGCATGGGCCCTTTAATATTATCTATAATAGAAACACAGATGAAATGTGATTAAATGACCGAGGATGTGCAGTAAAAGTTGGGAAAGACAAGGTTCCCGCTAAGAAGCAGGTAACACCGGAAAGGTTCTCACTGAAAAGCAGGTAGCCTTAGCGCGAGTATTAATTTGGAAGCAGGTAAGTTTGTTACCAGCAGGGTAGCCCACAATTACCATGCACATTGTTTATTGTTGAGACATGAATTTGTAAGGCATGTTTATTAACATATATTAGAATAGTTTAACGTTATAATCTACATATATACAAGCACCCTGAAATCCTATTTATTTACATATTTTCAAGCACTGTTGAACCATTTTTTTTACATATGTACATATACTGAACAACAAAAGTTCCTGTGACATTGAATAAGATTTAATGCAAAGTTATGTTTTTTACCAAATCTGAAACAATTTCGGTTTGCAGCAGATAAAAGACTCCCCTAAGTGCTCAAAAGGTTTTGCCATACTGACTTCAGAAAATGAGTGATTTCATAAAAAACACGAACATGAATCCTGCACAAGTCGAGCAATATGAGGCCGGGCGTTGTCATGTTGAAATGTAATGCCTGGGCTAGACGACGCAAAAACTGTAGAACAGCAGGGCCGATGATCTCGTCGCGGTAGTGCTGTCCATTGAGATTTCCCTCTTCCACTATCAAACGGGTCCTCTGTCTTCCTGTAATCCCAACCAATAAAATAAGGCTGCCGCCCCGAACCGATCTTCTTCCATGACACTATCGACGTGTACACTCGAATCCGTCTGTCGCTGTGGCTGAGGTGAAAACGAGACTCGTCAGTGAATAGAACTTGACGCTGTCTGAACCACTGTAGACGTGCTTGACGGTGGTTTCCTGTGATGATCACTTGCATGATCAAGGTGTTAGGATCTACACCAAAACGTCGCACTAATTGTAATAAAGAAAATGTTCATCCATAGAACTTGTCTTTCTTTATCACACCAACTTCTAAATGCCACTCAAAGAAGTGATTGTTTCTTGGTTTGTCGGCAACATATTTTGCTTGCAAGTTTCACTGAAGTTGGTAAATAACTAAAACCTGCATCACTTCGGGCTTTCCTCCCGCATCCAAAATACACACTGTGCTAAACAGAAATACTGTTCAAAGTTTAATCAAATATGACCACTCACTTGTCACATATGAACATGCATCTACCAACCACGAATTAACCTATATGTCTGCCATGTAAAACTGTTCAATGAATGAAGTAACTCAACTTGTATTCCTTGTGAAAGACCAAACAAACAATTGATCAATAATGTATTAATTATGGACAGATTAATGTTTATTATTTTAATTAAACTCATTTTTTGATTATTCACCAGGTGTCTCGAACCACATTTGATCCAATGATGTCCAACCACCAAATACGCCGCGCTACCGCGGATGATTTCCAAGCGGTCATGGATTTTGGGGATGTCATTTTCGGACTTGACTACCTTCCACAGCTTTACCACAGCTTCATTGACGACCCCAACGCCAGATCATACGTATACATCGTCGGCGAGGAGATCGTTAGTAGTCCTACTTCTTGATCATTGAGCTTAACTCTACTTTTGTTCAGTAAAGGGGCCGGCTCAAAGTATTATATTCAACTAAACCTGTTGATTACATTTTAGTGCAAAAGCTGTGATGTGTGAAGGTCTTTCGACCTTTACCATCGGATGAAGCCAGGCATTGTATTGATATCTAATTTCGTCAAAAAGGTTTGACTGCACATCAAACAATACTAAAACAGACTAAATTGGCGCCATGCCCAGATGCGAGCCTCACTCACTCACTCACTCACTCACTGCTGTAGGTTGGATTCTGCAGTCCCCACCTTATCGACGATGGGGCGACGTTTCTTATGCGGGCAAGCAGGGTTAAGGATGGCTTCCGGGGTCAAGGTATTTATGGCCTGCTTCTGAAGCATGTGCATGAAGATTTCAAAGGTACAGACACCATCAAATACGACGTCATGTGCGTTAACGATATCAACTATGGGGCCAAGAAGGAAAGCCTGAATAGAACACATACGGTAATCTCACAGAAGGTATGTATTGAAATATACACTGCAGAACCGTTAATAGCCAAACACAATGTATGACATAATAACAATGCTTGTAGGTTACTAAATGTGAGAATAACTAAGTGACAAAAGGTCAATAGCACCTGCAGTTGTATGCTTGTTGTCGTGAGAGGCGACAAACTAGATTCAGTAGTAAGGGCTCCGTGAAACGGTTGATAGGTGTCACGTGCCCCACGGCGTTGATCGTTGCTCGCAACTAGATATTCTGTTCCAGCCTTATTTTTGGAATAGTACTGAGTGCGGCTTTGTAAAACAACTAATCAGAATCCGCTAAAACGTTGCTTGCTTCTGTCATTCCAGGCAACCCTATATTACCAAGCCAAGTTAGCAGATGTGACGCTGCCAATGATGTCTACTGACGATCGCCCAGAAGCATTTACAACTGCAGATATGAAGTCACTCTTGGATTCAAAAGAATCACGTGAAAGTCTGTTTCCAGATGGCAGGATGATGGTGGCGATGCTACCTCTTGGACTACTCCCTGCCAACTTGAAGTACATGATGCCACCAAACTCATTTGCGCTTCAGTCAAGGGCAGACAACACCCACGTGTCACTTCTTTCAGTTGGGACATCTGTAGAATGCCAAAGGGGTCTGAGATACATGTGTGACGTTTTCGGAAGTGACGCCACATCATTACGTCACCATCTAGTATGCCACTTGTACAACGCACGTAGTCTGACGCAGGATCTCGTAATATTTGAGATCATCATTGAGACCAGCTTCTCTGATAGTGCTGACGACATCATGAAGGATGCGGGTGTTCCTTTCCTAGACCTAAAGAAGAAAAGGATGATACTTCTTGAGAAATTGTTTGAGTGAGTTGCATCTATAATATAGATAATTTCATCCTATATGTTGTAGACATTTCATCTTAACCAGACGTACACTACAGACTTCAGTATTTTTGCTACCTGTTCAAGCTACCTATAATTAAGTGCGATAGGATCACATCACAAAAGACGTGTCTGTGATTTCGGGACCATTCTTCAAAGGATCATCTCCCGTTAAACACCATATTACGAATTTGTTATGAGTGTTGGAATGTTTTTTTCATGATTGTGAAAGATATAGGTTCCTATTAATGTTAGCTTCACTGGTGTTGTAGTCGTGGAATCAACTGTACCAGGGATTTGCTTCTGAGATTTGAAACCTCTGGCTGATCAACCACAATGGAATATCTTCAACAATTTATGTAAGACTGCCGTTTTATTCCGCAATCAACAGTATGCCAGCGGCTTGTCAAAAACAGGCACTGGACAAGACAACCAGTGATAAATATTCAAGTCTCAGTGAAGAGACAAATGTAGTGGGTTTGAATGACTCCAAAAACGACTGCCAGTTAACCTGGCTGCCAATTAACCTGGGTCCGATGCCCCTTAAGAAGGGTGTCCGTGTCGCTCTTAACCGTTGTCGGCGCTCAGAGATAGCCTCGTGCACATTCAACTAGGGTATTTGGTAATGCTTGCAACCGCTCATGTCATTCATATGTCATAGCTGGAATAGTGCTCACTAGTGTGCAAAACTCATCCAATATACTTGCAGGATTGCTTGGTTATAAGGCAGCGATAACTGGTCGTTTTTAACAGTTTATATAACCTGGGCCTAGATTTTCAAAACAATCTTAGACCTAAACTTTTCTTAAAGGAAATCGAAGACCGTCGTAGTATATTTTGGAAACTATCGTAGCTCTTAGATATCGTAAAATTGACGTAAATCTAAGATAGCTCTATACTTGATGATGGTTTATTTTATGTTCATGCTAGGTGGCGGTGTATCGATATTTTTTTCAAACCAATAACACGCATTTCGTTGACACATTGACATTTCGTTTAGTTAAACTGTGCGATTCAAATCGACGCTTCGAAAACACAAAGAACGCATAAAGGATTCCATGTCAGAAATGATGTTATTCGCGATCGCGATCTTCACAACTATGGAGTCGATAGCCTAAAATACGATTTCTATCTGATATGAGTATAGTCTGAGTGTCAAACAGACTATATTTTCGAAATTCGATATGTTCTTTTATTCAACTTAACTTGAAAGGGATTGGTAAACAGGCCTTAGGTGTACGCCGTCATATTGCATTTGTGTCTTTATTTTCGCATTTAAGAGAAGTAAATCAATCTACATAAATGACGAGTTGCAAAACCATAAGTGTTTAAAATCGTGTTGGAATTTGAATTGTTACGTATCTGCAGTGTATATATGTATTACATTGGCAAGAATAACACATACGATAAAATATTTGTACGATAAAAGATGTGTATCTGTTTTATAAAGTGCATTTCTATCTGAAGGGTAACAGCCAAAGAAATGACCGTTTGCAATGCTGCTCGACAAGCCAAACGTCATCGCACTGCGTTCGGGAATAGATTTCACACATTTAGATTGTAGTTATTTCGCTCCCCTGCAAGATTTTATAGACAAATCAGGTTGAAAGCTCTACTTCATTTATAAGTATCAAAGAGGATACCATTATCTGAATGTTCACGTTTAACTGGCGGTGTGTCCCCAAATAGTCTCTTTTGGGAACGAAATCAAGTGTGTTGCTTTCATATCTTGAAAAGGTGCACCCCCGTCATCTGTCTGGACACACTAAACTGTGACTGGGAAGACAGGACCTCTTCCATGGGTTTCTTTGAAAGGCACTTAAAAGAGGTATACAAACGTTGTGAACGTTCTGGTGCCCTTAATAAAGAAGTTGGCATCCATAAATTCTCTTCCTTACGTCCATGTTGTCTAGGACACTTGATCATCAACAAATGAACATGTTTCATCCCCTAATTGAACTTTGTTTTAAAGAGATAGATTGGTTAAATACCACTTTTAACTGTATTTCAGAGCACCACTTTTTACTTTATTTCAGTTTTTTTCCACATCATGTTAGTTTGATGTGGAGGGAAGCCCGAAGTGATGTACATGTGAGACGACGTTAGTCTGTCACGTTAGTGAAACTCACGAGCACAGGGCGAACCTGATATTCGAACCCAAGATCACAGGCGTATGTCGGACTTACACGATGGTCCTGTCCGTCACAGTTTAAGGAATCGAGACTACAGCCAATGAATGAATTACAGCACTCACGAATTGGTACATTTAATTCGTGAAAGGCTTGGACATGTCCTATCAGTTAGGGAAATGCACTTTGAGCCTACACAACAAGTAAAACTCTAGCTCATCACTATGTTGAGTGATTGAGTGAGGTGCGATAAACCTGAAGCCAAGACGACACTGCATCACTGAAACTAATAGGGATATCTTATTCCATCTCATCTGGATATTTAGTTGAGGAAAGATTAATTATGGCGTGGCGCGTTATCATCGAGTCCGCTTGCTCGGCCTAAATCCTTGGTATTCAAGTTAGGTTTGACGCCGTTTTAAACTATTTCAGTTATGTCACAGCGTGTCAGTGCAATGTGGAAAGGGAGCGAGAAGCGATTGTCACAGAATTGTTGGCCATTAGCTAACAACAGCACACAGTATTAGTATCAAACCATTCACGTCCACAGTATATGGATGTCTGATCTACCAATGTCCCAGCTAGCTGACATACATACATATTTACACCAAATACTTTCAACTGTTATTCCCTTTATCTACCTGCTTACTTACTCAAAACTATACACAACTCTTCTAAAGACATTTCTAATACTTTTGACGTATCTGTTACACTAACGCGTGAGTGAGTGAGTGAGTGAGTGAGTGAGTGAGGTGCGATAAACCTGAAGCCAAGACGACACTGCATCACTTAAACTAATAGGGATATCTTATTCCATCTCATCTGGATATTTAGTTGAGGAAAGGTTTGTTATGGCGTGGCGCGTTGTCATCGTGTCCGCTTGCTCGGCCTAAATCCTTGGTATTTAAGTTGCTGGTGCCATTCTCATGACATGATTCTTGGGGTCGGCAATAGTTCCATTGTCCACCACCTACAGCGTACACCTACGATACATGTATACCATACTGGCTCAGTCCTCCGGAGAATACTCTGTGCCAACCACATAAAGGCTGACCAGTTCGTTCTTATGTCAACAACCTAACATGACACACTAAGAGGGCAAAGACAACAATGACTAACGTTAGTGGCGACCTCTAAACTATTGTCGGTATACCGCTCTCACAGTGGCGACCTCTGACCCCCTCTCGGTATACAGCTCTCACCGTGGCGACCTGACCTCCTTTCGGTATATAGCTCTCACAGTGGCGACCTCTGACCTGTCGGTATACCGCTCTCATAGTGGCGACCTCTGACCTCCTCTCGGTATACAGCTCTCACGGTGGCGACCTCTGACCCCCTCTCGGTATACAGCTCTCACAGTGGCGACCTGACCTCCTGTCGGTATACAGCTCTCACAGTGGCGACCTGACCTCCTTTCGGTATACAGCTCTCACAGTGGCGACCTCTGATCTCCTCTCGGTATACAGCTCTCACAGTGGCGACCTCTGATCTCCTCTCGGTATACAGCTCTCACAGTGACGACCTCTGATCTCCTGTCGGTATACAGCTCTCACAGTGGCGACCTCTGACCTGTATGTATACAGCTCTCGCAGTGGCGACCTCTGGCCTCCTCTCGGTTTTCAGCTCTCACAACGGCCACCTCTGACCCGTCGCTATACCACTCTCACAGTGGCGACCTCTGACCTCCTCTCGGTATACAGCTTTTGCAGTGGCGACCTCTGATCTCCTGTCGGTATAAAGCTCTCAAAGTGGCGCTCTCTGATCTCCTGTCGGTAGAAGGCTCTCACAGTGGCGACCTCTGACCTCCTCTCGGTATACAGCTTTTGCAGTGGCGACGTCTGATCTCCTGTCGGTATAAAGCTCTCAAAGTGGCGCTCTCTGATCTCCTGTCGGTAGAAGGCTCTCACAGTGGCGACCTCTGACCTCCTCTCGGTATACAGCTTTTGCAGTGGCGACCTCTGATCTCCTGTCGGTATAAAGCTCTCAAAGGGGCGCTCTCTGATCTCCTGTCGGTAGAAGGCTCTCACAGTGGCGACCTCTGACCTCCTCTCAGTATACAACTCTCACAGTGGCGACCTCTGGCTCCTGTTGCCGAGTAGCTGCGGTGAACATCCATTCGTACTGGGCCCTAAGGGTAGTGTACGGCATCTCCGGCATCCTACCCGTCTCTCAAACGTAACACACGAGTACGTGATGACACGGTTTCTACTAGATAACTATAGATTGCTGTAACAGATAAAACTACCTTCATTTTTCCTTCCAACTAATTTAACTTCTACTGTACCAATATGTCCACATCTAAATACATTTACCCATCAGGTCAGGAACACCTGATCAATTCAATAGTATATACTCATACGAAAACATAAAACTTTATGGATAATAACTTATGTTTTTTTCGCATTTAGCATGTTTCCAACGTTTGGATGCAGATTATTATTATTATTATTATTATTATTTACAGATTAAAATACAAAATACAGCAAAGCGGGTTAGGGTGATCCTAGCACAGTCAGGCTGGTTGGGCTCATCGTCAGCTCAGGGCCCTTGCCCCCTCTACACGCAGCCCACACAGCGAATGGGACTTCTCCCAGGAAGCACTGCCTAGTCAAACCCACCCAGAACTTTTCGGAGAATGTGAAGACTCCCCAACACTGCAGCCTTCTGCAATACCCAGATTGTCAGAAGGGCTGTATTCCTGGTAGCAAACCCGGGTACTCTCCCAACGTCAGTCAACAGTTTGGGAGGTACCAAACCTAGGGCACCGAGAACAATAGGGAGTCGGATAACTTCGTACTTGATACAAGCGTGACATTTCGAAAACGAGGTCCGCATATTTGCCATGTTTTTCCTCAATCTTGTCAAATTACTTAACTGTCAAAGGGGACAGAAAGTTCAATGATATCAATGATTTCATTGGATTTATCAAAAAGGACCAGATTTCTTGATATACGTTAAAGAGCTGCATCGAGTCGAAGTTTTCCGCCCACATCATGCTGACACGCAGTGATACGTGATCATAAATTGATTAACAAAATTAATAGCCAAATGAAAATAACACACTCTTTTGTTGCCACGATATCGTTGTATCATGGACTATAATACAAAAACAGAATCCGGCATATACCATTTCAGAAAACAATTTGTGTTTTAATTATTTGATTATTTGCAGCGGACCTAAATACTAATCGTCTTTCAAGACGGAAGTATTCATTTTACTAAACATACTGAACAGGGTGTTCTCTCTACTATTTGCCTCAAGAATACTGGGTTTCAAAATATAACTTTCGGTCCCAAATAATGGCCTCATAAGCCCAACCTTAGCAGCCAACTTCTGTGGAATAATTTGGTCATATAAGATTTTTCATCTAGAATACTTTAAACTTAAGACAAGTAAGGTGGTGTATATGTACTTAAACATATATGAAACAATATTGTAACACAACAACAGAGAGCGTATTTGGATTTTCTCGTTAATCCGACTGCAAAAACAAACTTCTTTGACAATAAACATTAACTGTTTTAAATAAACAAAACAGGATTAATCACATGCTTAGATTATCTCAATCGCATTAAAATCGGATACAAGTTCTCGCCATCGCTGACGACATCCCATTAAAGGTCACGTCAGAACGGCCTTTCGCGAACTTTGTCCTTTTGACTTCTGTGAATAAGATTTTAAGACTCATACACGTCACCGTCCATTGCATGCGCTAGGCAAGATGTATTTCCCATTGCACGGAATGGGCATTTGCACCGATTGGGTAAAACACATGCATATCTGTGATCCGTCATGTTTATTTGTTTCTTTGAATGTTGTTTAACACCGCACTCATGAATATTCAAGCTACATGACATCAGTCCAGTGATTGATATAATGAGCATCGATCCGGGGATTTTAGATACGATGACCAACCAAGTCAGCGAGCCTGACCACCCGATTCCGTTAGTCGCCTCTTGCGACAAGCATAGTCACCTCGAACGTCACACATGGGTTACTGAAGACCTTTTCTAGCCCGGATCTTCACGGATCCGTCATGTGTAGACCTGTGAAAGGATAATAGTGAAAGAAAGTTAACCCAAAACGTAAACTGGCAAAGTAATGGAGTAACAAAACCACGCATGCAACAGCATATACTCAGAAGCTAAACGCGGAGATCCATATTACGACCCTCTTCCCGACCCCCTTAAAACAAATACCAGGATCCGGTTGTTGATCATACTTGTTATTTCCTATATATTTTTTAAAAGAGGTAATGATTTAATTCCAGATGAAATTATTAATAAAAAACTGACAAC